CCCCCCCCCCCCCCCCCCCCCCCCCCTCCGGTCTCCTCCAGGTTTCATGTCCTCCTCCGATATTTCCTTGTTGACTGTTTTGTCTGTTTTTCGTGTGTGGACAAACACGAATATCGATACACAGCAGTAGTCTTGTTCGCATCCTTTCGGCTGGGGTATTGTCTCGAACGGCGACGCTGGTCTTTTTCAATGAGTACACCCATTTTCACAAACTAACTTCTATTCCACAACATGGCCAAATTGTGCATGCACTACCCGGACCGAGCCGACCACGTTGCTGCGATGGCGACCACGGACCGATCACTGCCATCGATTGCGATTGCTGCCATCGCGATCGCGATTTCCATTTCATTTGCGACTGCGGTCCCCCCCATATGCATAGGACACGGTACTACTCCTGTCGTCGGGGAAGGTGCCCCTGGCGGAGGGCGACCTGGAAGACTTCGAGGAGAAGCTGGAAGCTGTGTGCGACGGTCTGGCGGAGGACGTCGTCAGGAACGGGGAGGGCACCGCCCACGTCATGCAGGTGCGGTATGGTACGGTACGGTACGGTATGGTACCGTATGGTACGGTGTTGAGTGTTGAGTGCTGTATGATATGTACAAAATCGTAGATACATGGTTTGGGATTATTTTTTTTTTTCTAGTATTCGTTTTTTTGGCCTCCCCCTCCCTTTTTCTTTTTCTAGGCAGGCGTGGGGTGAGTGAATTCAGATGTGTGATGTGTGTGCATGTGTGTCACTTTTTCGAAGTTTTTTGTTTTTTGTTCCTTGTTCTAGTAAAGGCAGGCGTCGGATCGGTGACATTGTGTCGTAGGCTGCAGGCAGATCTACAAAGACTCATCATCTCGTGCCAACCCTCTCCCCCCGTGTTCACCACCCGGGCCGCTGAGCACTCAAACCCGCCCCCCCCCCCCCTTCTTTCCTCCCTCTGCTGTGCCCCTCCTGCTGTTAGGGCCATGTCACCGGCGCACCCACGTCAGCGCTGGCGCGAAAACTTGGCAAGGGGGTCGTGAACTCCCCCCTCTTCAAGGGGGCGGGGGGCGGGAACGACCCCAACGTCGGCCGTCTTCTGGCGGTGGTGGGGAGGGTGATGGGGAAAAAATCCCCCGACACGGACGTTAGCAACACGAGGTGTGTGTATCGGGGGGGGGGGGGGGGGGGGGCCCCTTTTTTTTTGCTGGCCTAAAGGGTTTTACCTGGGACCCCCCCCCCCCAAAAAAATTTTGGGGGGGGGGGGAAAAAAAAAAAAAAACCGGTTTTTTTTTTGGAAAGGGAAAAAAAATGGGGGGGGGACCAACAAAAATTAAAGGGGGCCTTTTAAAGGGGGGGGGGGGCCAATTTTTGCGGAAATTGGGAAAATTTTTTTACTCCTAAAAAATCCACTTTTTTTAAAAACGGCCCAGGGGGGGGG